GCTTGGCGTCCCAAGCTACATTATATGGTACCTGTACCTTAGAGCCGGCCGGCCTTATCTCCATGTCTGGGATGGTTTCCTTAGTAACCTCGGATTCCTATTGCACCTTTCTTTAATTTTCGAGGGTTTTTATCATTTGGAACTTATTGGTCTACCACGTTTCTTACGCTGTCTAGACTCTGTAGCAACTTGATTGTGTTCCTTGTGAACATCAATACGTACTGGTGCATTACAAGCTGGTATGTACGCTTTTATAACTCTCTTTGGGTCATCAAAGGAATCTAGCAATTCATTAGCTAGCTTTTGCAAATTTATTATCTTATGGACCTCTGAATCACACATCAGAGTCCGGGGATCTTGCCAATTTAAGGATGTTTGATTCCATGATATTTCTTTGACCAACTTGTTCGTCTCTCCACCTATAGTAGGAAATTCGGATTCATTAAAATGACAATCTGCGTATCTATCCTTAAATAGATCACCCATGGTTGGCTTTAGATACTTAATAATGGTGGGAGAATCAAATCCAACATATATTCCCATCCTCCGTTTAGGTCCCATTTTTGTTCTATGTGGTGGAGCAATCGGTACATATACGGCACACCCGAATGTCTTTAGATGGGATATGTCTGGCTCATGACCCGTTAATAATTGGGATGGCGAATATTTATGTTCACTGGATGGCCTTATGCGTATAAGCTCTGATGCATGTAAAACAGCGTGTCCCCAAGCGGCTACTGGAAGCTTCGACCTCATGAGTAATGGTCGAACTATCAATTGAATTCGTTTAATGAAGGATTCCGCTAATCCATTATGTGTATGTACATGTGACACGGGATGTTCCACACTTACCCCCATGGACATACAGTAATCATTAAACGCTTTGGACATGAATTCACCGGCATTATCTAGACGTATAGTCTTAAGCGGAAAATCTGGAAAATGGGCTCTCAGTCTTATGATATGGGCCAACAACCTAGCAAACGCTTAGTTTCTAGAGGATAATAAACAAACATGCGACCATCTTGTCGATGCATCAATGAGGACCATGTAATATCTAAATGTCCCGCATGGTGGGTGTATTGGTCCACATATATCCCCTTGTATCCTTTCCAGAAAGTTTAAGGTTTTTGTTGGGGTTGGATTCCACCCGCATTAAGTCCGAGCTAAGACACGGCACCTCGGGACCCATGACCGAGGTGGCTCGGGGAACGCTGACTTAATCAGCTAGGGATCACCGAACCGGTGCGGGTTCGATCACCAACCAGCTCGGGATCGATCATCAAACCAGCTCGGGATCACCGAACCGGCTCGAGATCAATCACCAGATCGGCTCGGCAAAATCATGGCTGAACCGGCTCGGGACATCTTGTATCGCCTCGGGAGCGGGACCCGATACACCACCTTACCCGAGCTGAACTCTCCCTTCGTATCGAGCTGACTTCACAAGACACCCCAGCCAAAGAACCAATGCACCCGAGGCGAAAGGAACGTTGTTCCTGAGCATGAATGCAGAAGACGTCCCGAGGCAAGGACTTAGTAAATATTCGCCTTCAGAGTATCATTTCTAAGCAAGGCATCATTTCCGATATACCCGAAAATGATAAGGGAGAATATTGAAGGATCAACTCAAATCAGGAAATCTTCCAAGAAACCCCGAAGAATAAGGAAACTATCCTAAACCCACGATATTCTAGGCCGACTTCAAGATAAATGGAAATCTTCCGAGAATATCGCTGGAGAGGCGGCTTACCATCCCTATATAAGAAGACTCAAGGTTCTCACAGAAGGGCAGGCAATATCGCTCTAGAATTTACACTACGCAAAGCTCTCACAGCACAAACATCTTTTTCTTTACGATCAAACTCTTGTACGATCAAAGACATCTTTTCCTTAATAATATCAAGAACACCATCTTTGGTATCAATCGATTCTGTCGTTCTTTGAGAATTCTCGCAAATCATATCCCTAAATTAAAACCCTAGACAAATCTCGATTGTGTTAGTTTCGACTTCCACAGTTTCTATATTTACCTTAGCCGGTGATGGCCTTATAATGAGTTTCCCTTGTGAACATGCTTCACACGTGAGATTCTTAGGGATAACTCTTTTCTCTTTTAGGGTGTGCCCCTTTGAATTAGTTATTAGTTTACGCATCATACTATGACCCGGATGGCCAAGCCGGTCATGCCATAAAGTGAATTTCTCGATGAACTCTTTGTTCATTGCCATATTAGCTTCGATCATATCGATTTTAGCATAGTAGAGACCAGTGGATAATGCGGGTATAGTCTCTAGGACTTTCTTATGTCCTTTGGTGATCTCAATTATATTTAGGAATTCTTTGTTCCCTTCACCCTTTGTTTCAATATGGAAACCATTCAATCTTATTTCTTTGAAACTGGGTGAATATAAGGCATCGCTTAGTTCAAGATGCGTGCCATTTGGTAAGAGAATATGGGCTTGGCCGTAGCCCTCAATAAGATTTGCTATACCCGCTATAGTGCTAATATTGGCATTTTTTCATTATGAGATTTAGAAAAATATCTCTTATCTTTTGTGTGGCTCCACTATCCACCACAAATATGTTCTTGTCCTCGGCCATTTCTTATATGGACAAGAATCATGTTTTAAACATAAAATAATATAAAATAAATTCAAGGAAATAACAATCAATGAAAACATAAAATGCAAAGAAAACATAGAGGTTTTGATGTCGAACTCAGATTTATCAACTTGATTCTTTTAGGCAATCAGAAGTCTCATACTCTATTAGATCATCTTGATCATGTTCACCATTTTTATATACCAAATGGGCTTTAGGATTCTTCCTTTTCACACTCTCTTGATAGAGGTCACAACGATGTTTGGAAGTCCTACATATCTTAGCCCAATGGTTTCCCATTCCACATCTATGGCATACTCATTTGGTCGAGTGTTGTGGTTTGGAAATACCACATCGTCCTCGCCCTCGACCACGGCCGGAATTGGGTCTACATCCACGGTTATAGTGGTTCCCACGGCCGGATGAGTTATAGTGGCCACAACCACGTCCTTTCCATCCACTACGGCTACAGCCGTATGGTCTATTACTTTAGACGTGGTTAGATTCTTTGGATTCTTTCTTATCCTCTGCGGCCTTATTGGCATCAGGTAATGGGGTTAATCTATGAGGTCGTAATTCACTGTTTTTATCAGTAAGTCATTATTTTGCTCATCTAGCAATAGACTCATCCACGGACTTATAGTCATGGATTATGAGACTCTCAATAAGATGGTGGCTAATATTGCCTTGTATCTATCTTTCTCTCTTGGCATTATTGCCTTATTAGATACATTCACCAAGTCCTTTTGACTTTAGGATAATCTTAGTATCCATTGCCCATTTTAAATAATTATCTCCTAAGAGATTTAGGGCAGTAAAATACAAGTTGTAATTCAACATCTACAAGGAAAAGTTTTGAGTCAAAATCATGTAATCGTTAGTGTCATGCGGTATTTGAGACCGAACCATGAATCGATTTACTTAGGGATTTGACTTTCCTCTTTTGCTTAGAATTAGATTTCCTCTTTTACTTAGGATTAGATTTCCTCTTTTAATTAGGGTTAACTATTCTTTTTCTTTTTAGGATTTACTTTCCTCTTTACTCTAGGATTAATTTTCCTATTTCACTTATGGTTTTAGATTTTTAAGATTTCCTATTTTATTTAGGATTTGGAAATTTTCTATTTCTTAAGGTTTTTCTATCTTGAATAGGATTTATGAATTTCCTAATTTAATTAGGGTTTAGAGATTTTCTATTTTGAATAGAATTAAGGATTTTCCTATTTACAATAGGATTTTAGGGTTTTTAAGATTTCCTATTTTAATTAGGATTTTAGGGTTTTTAAGATTTCCTATTTTAATTAGGATTTTTGGGTTTTTAGGGTTTTGCTTATTTACAATAGGATTATATTTTCTAAGGTTTCTAGGGTTCATGCGATTTTAGTTTTAGGATTTCTAACAACTTATGCATGTAATCAATCAAAGAAACAATCAATCTAACAACCTAAACAACCTCAATCAATCGATTATATTTTAGGGTTTTAGGTTTCCAATTCGATTTAGGGTTTTAAGGTTTCAGCCATGGCTAAGTGTTTTCGAGTTTGAGAGTTAGGTTTAAGCAATAACTTTCTAACAACTTAAACGAGTCAAGCAATCGAATCATACAAGCAAAAACAATCACTTAATCAATCATTATCCGTTTTTAAGATTTCGCTTTGCATTAGGTTCAAGTTCGATTTTTGGTCTTTAAGTTTTTAAGGTTTCGTTTTTACCTTTCACCAATTGGGGTTGAACGGATTGAACCGGGAGCTTAAGACCTCGGTAACTCACGCTAGGATGAACAGTACCGATGAACAGTGTCGATGAACAGTGTCGTCGTGAACAGTGTTTTGCGATTTTTAGGGTTAGGGTTGTTAAGAGCAAACTCGTGCTGATAACGTGTTATGAATCTCGTGTATTCTCTTATTAATGAATGAGGTTACAACTTATATATATACACAATAAGGGAGACAAATCCCAATTGGATTAGGAAACCCTAAAGCCCAAAGCCCAATAAGACTAACATAAACCGTCATTGGGCGAATCTTCTAGAAGATAGACATGGGCCTTCTAGAACATGGACATGGGCCTTCTAGAACATGGACATGGACCACGGTTATGGAGTCCATCCGTAATGTGGTTTACAACACTCGTTACTTTTTCCGGCGCCTTAATAATATTGATGAAAAAAGCTGTTTTGCGTTTTTGGGCTTCGAACTTTACCTACTTGGGCCATTATTTGTTGTATTTAAATGGAAACATAATTACATACTTACATCATTGTTACTTTCTTAATTTTTCATCTTTCATCTTTCCCTTTGCTAATTAACTCTTTTATTACATTAAAAGAAGGTATGGTAAAATCAAAGTTTTACTTTGCGGCTTTGCGCCATGGACCAAATATTCAAAAGCTGATATACCACACAAAACAACAAAATATCAATGAAAGTAAGCCAAAGATCCGAGCATATAGTTTATTGGTTTATGCAACTATTTCCGGATACAAATCTATCATTGTGCATGTATGATCAATACAAAATAATAATTGTCATCAACTCCCAAAGAATTATTCAACAATGATCATTGATCAACTAAGGCATAAGGTAAACTTCAGAGGCTGCTCATGCCTGTGTGGGCTCCATAAGCCAAACAAGTGAGACTTAAGAATTGTTATCAAGTTCTTCCAACACAGCCCACAGTTTTGGATCCGCATAGTTCTCGATGAGAAAAGCGGGTTTTGCTTGCACAAGCAGGCTTGCTGGATTACCTGTAGTAAGTCCAATCACAGGCATTCCGGCTGCAACTCCAGCTTTTATCCCAGAGATCGAGTCTTCAAACACTAAAGTGTGCTCCTTTGACACTTTAAGCACTTCGAGAGCCTTCAAGTAAGGTCCAGGGTGTGGTTTGGGATGTTCACATTCAGAGCCAAGAATCACTGCTTGAAAGAAATCAGTCAGACCAAGTTTTGATATCATGAGCTCTGCGTTTTCTTTTGGAGCGTTTGTAACCGCAGCTCGTTTCAATCCACGATCTTCGATCCATTTGGTCAGTTTTATAAGCCCATCAAGTGGCTTTATCTTTTCTGCAACAATTCTAATCAACAAGAAAAGAACAAACACAAAGTTAATTACTCCAAATTAACTCAAACATGAAACAAGCTTGTGATATTTAAGAAGGGAGGAAACACAGAACTATAGCTTACTTGCGATAAAGAGCTTCCTTCTCATCACAGAATTTTAACCCTCTTGAAACATCATCAGGGAACAGAATTTGAGCAATTTCAGAATTGTGTTTTCCAGCAATATTCTCAACAAAGAATTTCTCATCAATTGGGACACCATTGTTAAAACCAATCTGTGAATGATAGAAAGAAGCAAAATTGATTGACACAAGAACTTGACATAATTGAATCACAGTTTTTTAAAGTCTTGCTGCAGAATTAAAGATATGATGATATAAAGAAAAGGAAAGAACCTCTTGAAGCAGTTCTTGGAAGGCAATAAGGTGGATGGGATCTGAATCACAGAGTGTTCCATCAACATCAAACAGAATGGCTTCTAATGGAGCTAAATGTGACAGAGAAGGTTTGCTGCTTCACAAAAAAAAAATCAAAAGAGATTAACAATATCAAAAATCCTGAGAAATTGCGGTGAGATTGCATCAAAAGGATCAAACTTTGGATATATACCATAATCAAAAAGGTTTAAAGATTGAAAGCCAATTAGAACCATTCGATGTTTATCAACTAAAATCAAGAATTTTAGGCAACGAGTTCCATTGATCTTGGAGAAACATACACTAGCACAAAAATCACAGTTTTCTAACAAAAGTAACACAAAATCCTAGAAACATAGTGGAAGACGAAAATGGAAGCTGACGAATATATAGACGCAAGATCATGTATAAAAGAGATTATTGATGAGGAAAAAAAAAAAAAAAAGAGATTATTGACGATCAGACAAAGCGTACCTCTCAGAAGGATTAAGATCAGAAAAGCCATTCATTGTGATGAGACCCGAAGAAACACGGATCTGCGGTTGCAAAACAAGAAGAAAACAAATGGTTTTGAGAGATTTGTGAAGAAGAAACAAACAACAGAGAGAGTTTGAAGAATATTCAAGAGGACAAAACCAAAAAAGTATCAAATGGTCGTCAGCGGAAGATTCGGGGACTATTCTTCGCCACGTGTCACCCACATACTGCCGAAAATCATTAACATTAAACCGGTTTAAGGTGTAATTCGGTTGGAATCCTTAATTGGGTTTATTGGTCACATAGAATCTTTTAAGTAGGGTTACAAGTTTCACATAAAGAATCTTTTAAGTAGAGTTGTTTCAAGTTTCATTTCTGATTCATGCAACTTAAAATACCATTTTTATGGAGCTTAATCGCGAATTAATCACTCATTGTCAGCAACGACTTAACTCTTTATTACCAAATGGTATATAAAACGCAAATTTTGGAATTAGAAACATATAAAACCATAAAAGGGAAATGATAAATCTTCAATAACCAAAAGTTTTGGTAATAGTTTTCTCAACACGAAATCAATCGGATTTGGAGAGCAGTGTGAGCAAGAAATCTCTGTAGTTCCCTTTAATCTTCTCTTGGATTCTTTGAGCCAAAGTCTCACCATAAAGGTTATTGAACTCTTCTTTGATCTCATTCATCTCATCACTATGATCTGCTCTTGTAACAAACACTCTTGTCAACCATTTCTTGGTAGTCTTGTCTGCGTCTTTGTTCAGAGATGCATCCAAAATCTAAAACCAAATCACAACAAAACATAAACACAAACGCGGAAATTGGACGTTTAAAACAATCGCGATGAGAATATGGTTCCTTACCTTGCTGAAATACAGAGCCGGTTTGAGCAAACAAAGCAATGCTTCATTGAGAAGCGAAGACTGAGATACACCCTGATGATCAAACCACAAGATTTCATTAGCAAATATAATCAAAACATTGGGATATATACATAATATAACAAGTGAGTTGTTGTTATATTTATGTTACCCCAAGAAGATCAGAGCCTTTGATTTCATTAAAATGTTTGTAGAGATGTTGGAGATGAAGTTTGCTTCTTGTGGTCAAAATCCTAACAACCTCATCCTTTTCCACGACTTCTTCGCCCGAAGAAGCCACTGCTTCGGCCAGAATCTTAGCCTCCGATTTGGCAGAATCATCCTTCACCTTATTCCCTTCATATCTATAAGCACTCACGAGCCCCACAAGCAACTACACAACACAGAGACAATGAGTAAGACAAGAGAAGTTTGAAAGAGACCAACACTAGTATATAAAATAATATTGACCTTGCGATGAGGACCGTGGACGTGAGAGGCAATGTCTTCTTCCATTGATTGGTCGAAAAGAGAGTGATAAGCTTTGCGTGCACCGAGGAGATCCTCAGCGGAGCGTGTGCATGAGACCTCAACGATGAGGTTGTAAGCTTCTTCTCCTTTCTTCAATGCTTTCTTCACCAACCTTGCGTCTCTCTCCCATGGATGCATCGCCCACATCACCACCGCATTCTACACATCATACACAAAACTGTTAGAATATTCTCTAGCAAAAGTGGCGATGATTCAATACTAGAATGTGTGTTTTCTTTACTCATTGTCAAATGTTTTTGAAGTAGAATGTGAGTTTTATTTATTCATTGACAATTGGTTTTGAGATGAAACCATGATCCCTAGCAAAACAAAATCATCATCATATCCGTTGATAATTGAATCATCGTCAGTTTGGGAATTTCATGTAGGAAAATCATTGGTTTAATTTTTCAAAAAATGTTTCAGAGTATTTATTACATAATAGAAAAATCAATCAATAAATAAGGAAAATAAAACCAGCTGCATTCATTATTTTGTTAAATAGTTTCTCTATTAATTTACTTTAACCAAAGCAATTTTTTAGAATAGTTTTTTTTTTTTTTTTTGTAATTAAACCGTGATATATGGTTAGTTTTATACTTTTATTAGGTAAAAACAACAATTGATTTATTATTAGGTTTGACCCCCAAACAAAAGATTTATTATTAGGTAAAAACATTTAGAAAATGTAAAAAATGTATAGATTTAGCAAGGATAAACTAAATAAATAAATAAGAGAAATTAAGCTGAAAAAAAAAAAGAATAATGGAAGAAAGGAACTGACATTGAATCGAGAGAACTCAAGCTTGAGGTGTCTGACGAAGTGATCATGGCATTTCTCAAAAGCTCTTTCTTCATCTTCCACAAAGAAACTTTTGCTTGCTTTCCTAAACAATTTTCTATGCTCCTTTTGCGATTTCCCCAATGTGCTTATCAATGCGTTCTCATCAACTCCCATCCCTATAACAACAATGTTTTTTTTTTTAGTCTTTCAATCTCAATTCCAAATCATTAATTCTTGTTTTCCACAAATCATATTCCACAAAAATCACTGATTAATGATTAGAATTACCTGATATGGCTTCAGTGAGGCTTTCGAACTCGAGAGGAAGAGCCATCTTCTTGCAGTTCTTTTAGTGTTTTTTGTTTTCTGTGGAAATCTATGGAAGATGGACAAGACGTTTTATATGATGATTAAGGGTAATGTTGTGGTTTATGAAGTGAGACGAGGGTTTTTTCGGTATTTCAAAACCAGATTTAAGACAAAAGCTAGGGGTATTGTTGTAACAAATGAGTAACGCCCACGAAATTAATTGCATAGGTTAACAACTGTTTACGTAAAAGGAATTACACACTTCAGTAAGTTCAAGACAAATTATAACTTACTGTTTTTTTTTCGTTTGTCTTAACTGGAATTTATTTAGTTTGACCACTATATAAATTCTACTTACAGTTTTCAAAGATGTACTTATCTTTTCAATTGGACGTGGTCTAAACATTGAATTAGGAAAATTGCAACAAAAATATTATGATCCTAAAAAGCTATAAAACAAATGAAACCCTTTAGCAAAAAAAAAAAAATTGCAACAAAGATAGAGTCTAGCCAAATGAAAGTTTCTTTAGTAAAACTATTAAAGCTTGTTTAGTAAAAAAGGTTTAAATAGTAAAGGATTATATTTTTTAAAGAAAACAAAGAAAGTGAAAAAGTTATTTGGACAAATTACGTTTCTAGAAAATGACTTAATTATCCAAATCTCTCAAAATCAAATGCAAAGAGCAAATTTTAATACATAGCAAAGTGATGGTTAAGGATATGATCATATATAAAATTAAGATCCATGTGGATCTTTGAATAGCTCAAATCTGTGATAATCAATTGTAAAAGTCAACTAATTGTAATCTCACTGAATCAACAAAATAGATAAGTCGATCGTGTTGGTGCCAAAACAACGTTATTTTACTGCCAAACACACATGGACCTATTACAGAAAAATAATGGTTTCGAATATCATGGGGAAAGGAGACAACATATCTCTGCTTCTCTGTTTTTTTCTCCTTTGTATCTTCTTCTCTTAGATTAAATGCATTCTTGAAAGAATATTCAATGCGTTTCTCATTATGTCCAAACTCCAAACTGTCCCATTTCATAAATTATGCACACAATTGTCGATGAGAAGCCTCAATCACATTTGCTTCGCATTATTGTGAGACTAATAATTAAGCTTATTTACTATTATTATATACAGTATTCAACAAGTATATATCACATGGTTTTTATAGATTATTGCTGAATATCTGACATTGAGGAGATTGTACAACCACTACATGTGTCGTTTAGCCAAACAAATAATTTGGTCAACCAATTAAGATCCGGTTTATAAATACGAGAACTATTATAAGAGATTTATATATCAAAACGTGTTTGTTCAACTTTCGCTAACGCTTTAGCCAGACCCGTGCCAAGGAATTTTAATGCCATAGACGAAAAAATATAGTTTCATATTTAAATAAAATATTATACACATAACAAAAATATATTTTACTGTTTAAAATTTAATAATAAATTTACAAAATTTTAAGCAAAACTTATAAAATAACTTATGAACAAAATAATTATAAAACAAAACAAAAATAGAAATTAGGTTAATTATAACGTGTAGTCTAGTAATTTGTATTTGTGTCATTGTTATACAAACGGTATAATGTATGTTGTTAACAAAACAAAACATAATTTTGGTAGTTAATAAAAATCTAATATACTAAAGATAAAGTTGGATAAAGATGATTACCATAAATGAAGCTGGTAAAGAAATGAGAAAAAAATATTTAATGAGATTAAAAGAAAAACTGAGAAAATAAGACTTTAAGTTATTGCTTAAGTGTGGAAATTTAAGATTCTTTGTATATATTGCACATTATACTACTTTCCTTTATTATTTGTATTAATCTCCCTAAAGTTATTGCTTCAATAGTACTTATATAGTTATATGATAAACACAATTAACAAATAAAGCCTCTTAGATTTTTTATAAAATTATGCAACGTAGGCGAGTGTTTCTTTATTTCTTTAATAGGCACGGCTCTGGCTTTAGCTGTTTAATTAGCATGTTCCTCGTAGTAACCCTTACGTCAAATCTCTTCATATTTTATTGTGTGTCATAGACTTGCGTATATCAATACATGTCAGGATACTTAAGAATATAATTTGAATATTAATCACGAGATAACTCACTGTCACTCATTAAAAAAAGAGGTTGCAAGACTACGAGATAACTCACTTATTGGGATTAAGAAAGAGTGAACCATTTATCAACCTACGTGAAGATATCGGCACTTTGATGTCAGGGTCGATTCACGTTTTTTTTAACATTAGAGTGATCAGTGATTTCAGAAGACATATTTGAATACTAGCAAATCTAGATGGAAATAAATAAATGTTACCAATAACAAGAAAATATGTACGTATATGTAAGTTTTATAATCTACTACACACGAATTGCCATCGAAGGATTAAATTCTTGAGTTTTTTTTTTTTTTAAAAGACAAGTTCACGTTTTACACGACGAGAGGACTTGCAACAATTTGGAGGACAGACAGCTGTGTTGAGCCCCTATCATTTGTAAATCGCAATCTATTTATTTATTTGATTTTGGTTATACTTAGACATCACTCATAAGATCCCATCATGTTCCTTATCTTAAATGTTATTTCTATTGCGCACATGTCACACAGTGACA